CACGTTTGTAAATCACGAGCGGGTTTAATATCGCAGCCGGCCACCGTTGTTGCACCGGGCGGCATGCAGCAAATAATCTCCTTTTTTGCTCGTATCTCCGTTTTCGCCACCCACCGCCAGACGTTATACCCCAGCCATCCCAAGCCAACCCTCGCACACATCTCTCCCGATCGGCCTGATTTCCCGGCAAAGCGAATTTTCAGCGCGATACACGGAAATGAACTTTATGCCATCGATTATCCGAATGATCGTTATTCCGCTTCCATAAAGTCAACTACGCCATTATGAAACCGTGCAAAAGTTTCGTATTGAAACGTTTTTATACTTCGAGCTTCGTCAAATATTCCCTCGTCGTTTAAATAATATTATTCGTCGAGTCTATGACGTAACTTTTGAAATTACGTGTTCTCTCGAACGTTATATCATGTAGTTATCGATAATCATTATACATACGTTACAAAAGCAATTGTTTAAACGCTAGAAAATAATTGACGAGATTACGAGGAAACTTGCGTCTGCATGCGATGAAAATTGATTCGAGATTTTGAGAACCTCTGTTTCGTTGCGTATATGTCGGCCATTCTCTTCACGCCATACGCTATTATCCGGTTCCGTGACAAAACGACATAAGACACGTACGCAGTCACCTACTATCGAAATTGAAAGTCTGCAAGGCTTTCGACCAAGGTTAACGGCGCGGCAAAAAATTTAACGTCGCTGTAACGATGAACGACGCCTTGGATGGTTCGTATTAATGCGATGCCCTCCTCTTTCGTCGTATCTGCCCGCTATTTTTTTGTCGGTCGATTAAGAGCCCCGACTACAAGGCTCTGTAGATAGGGGCGTCGTGACGATTATAAAATGACACAAGACAATTACGTATTGTTTTCAACCGGATAGAGATGCGAGCGAGAGAAAGAGTTCAAGTACGCGCGACACACAAAGTAACGCAAAATCAATAATTTAACGTGGCTTGAGCTTGCGTTTAAAAATGTAGAAGAAACAAAAGATATAAATTATACGGGAGGTGCAAGAGATAGGACTTGGAGTAAAATATTAACGACAGACTATTTGGCCAATAAAGTGGAGCAACTTACTAATTTTCAAGATTAGATACCTTCCACGGGGTAAGCGCGAGTTTCAAATTAAATATTCGCTAGAATCACACTTGAAATTACACGGAGAATAAAGTTTCGTGAATGTGCTTGAGAAAGAAAGATAAAGATAGGGAGAGAGAGAGAGAGAGAGAAAGCGCAACTTTTAATTTTCTCTAAAAGAAAGAAAAAGCTTTCATATTCAATCGCTCTTATATTGATTTATATAAAAATTGATACTCTTCAAAAGAGTTAAATTAACAGTTTTTTTTTAGGATTAATTTCAAATTGATCGAGAAGTGTAAATCTTCTATTTTAAGCATCTTTGTATTTAATATTTCTTACAGACACGTTTATTCATATAACGATCTTATTAATTATATATGTATATTGGAACAATAATATAAACATTAAAGAAATTGTTATATATATAAATTTTAAAAATTAATTATTGTAGAAACGCGCGTTAATAATATAACGAAAGTTATTGATCAAGTCAATTTAATGGCAATATATAATATATGCAGTCTATGCTGCACATGAAAAATCGAAAACTATACGTAGGAAAATTATACAGTATGAAATATTTTTCACACAAACATTTTAAACATTTTAAAGCAGAGTGAACTTAATAAAAACTTTTTTACCCAGTTGATATATGTATATATGTATCGTTATTCAGTCGATTATAAAAACTTTTTCGTTTGCAAGTACGGCATGGGGACCATTCAGGCTGCACGCTACTCATCTCGCAGGTACGTACTATAGTAATATGCGTTCGCATAAAAGAGAAATAGGCAACCTATGCATTATATATTATATATATATATAGAATAAAATACTTTTTCTGAATTAAGCTAGTGTAGAGTATATGAAAAGTATATCGTTGCCGAATTTTTAGATTTTAAGAGCCGTAAATCATGCATTAACTGAAAAAGCATCGAAATAAATCCGGCTTGTCGGAGTGAAAGAGAATGTTTTATTCTTCGCAAAATTATTGTACGAAAATGTCGACGAGAAGAGGGGCCAGCAGGGGCAAAAACATGAGTTATATTCGCGCCCCTTTTAAACGATTTATCGCATTGAGTCGCGGTTGCGCGATATACAGTGTATTGCGCGCGCGAGTTTAATTAACTATCGACACCGCTAATTATTGCGCAAGCCGCAATTAGAATCGCACGCTTGATAGAACGCGATCGATCGTTCGTGATTTCTGCACTTGCATGTTCTGCGTAAGACCACTCGTGTATTTATAGCGGCCGTCGCACGCTCCGGTGAGCATTATCGTTGCGAACAATGAAACCAGTTCGGATAAACGATGGAAAGGTACTGAACGCCCTTCTGAACGGATAACAGAGTACGTCTTTGGCTCGTATAAAAGAGATCTCGGAGCGAACAAAGTAACCGAGAGAAACTGTATCGAGGTAGGTATAGGTGGAGAGGTATTTTCGAATATCGATGAGGTTACTAAGGAAGAAAGATAGCCATCGTCGGCCGCGGTTAGGTCAAATCAACAGTCGAGTCTCACGATGCACACACATGTCGTGAATATAATCGACGCGCGGTTGCGTTTCTCTACTACGGAATCGTAAATCGCGCGTCGTGGTATTATAATTGGTGCCAAGTAGGCACCTGACAAATGATACTTAATATATGTATTTGTATATACTGTAATTTATGTATCCTCGTTAACGCGCACGGACGAAACACGACGCGCCGCTAATAGAATGTGAGTCGAAAAAAATGTTATTTTCGCGCCGGCTGGCTGCGCCGTAATTTATCACACGAGGGGCTCGTAAATTTTAATTTAAATACGCGACGTCCTCCTAATGTCGATCTCGCGCCTACGATTCTAATTGTCGTGTTTCGATCGAGCGACAAATCGCTTAATTATTTCGAAAGAAATTGAGAGATAAGCATCGGATATAACTAATTTTCACGCGAATGACATATACGCGATTTATCTTGTAAAACAACATCTATTCATTTAACTTGTTATCTCGACACATATTTCAATATCCTAAAATGAATATTTAATTTATATAGATAACTTGCCGCATTTTCATCTTAATATCCACAGTTTGCTACGAATTATCTAAAAAAAATTTCAATATTATATTTCGTTTATAATACTTCTTTTGCGTGCGGTATATTTTTGCGAGACATAATCACGGGGGTGGACGGATTTTTTCCAAGTGTTAAGCGAAAAAGAAAACAGCGATTATTGTTTCAACAAACACTGTTATCTGAGAGAAATATAATACGCTCGCTTACGTAGTGTAATTTGAAAAAAAAAAAAAAAAAAGTTGAGAAGGGAGACAGCTGGTCGTGGATGAGTCGGCGCATTTAAAGTTCCCGGGGCGGGCTCAATGAACGGTTGACGATTTTCAACAGCTCTCCGAGCGCGCGAGCGAGCGTGTATATGTCAGAGAGAATCACTCTCCACCAAATGCTCGCGGCGGAGCAACAGAGGAGCGACGGGTTGATGCTGACTGCGCGCGTTTGATACGATGAATGTAGTCATTGTTGTTCCCTGCCATTCAAGATACGGATACGCACGCGCGCGTTCTGTGAACCAGTATCTCTCTGTTCGGCAAATCAGCGCTCGATAACGCGTTAATCGTGCGTCGATGACGATTATGTCGGATTCGGACATTGTAATCGAATGTTGTTTGACCCCCCGATATCTGACGTTGCAATTAGGACTCGGATTTTGGTATCGTTAACGACCCGCAGACGCGTGTGCATATTGCGATTTTGATCCCATTTATAATTCTAACGAGGTAAATTAACGTTCTCCCTTTGTGAGCCGATGCGAAAATAAAAACTTTTTGAGGCTAAGCCTCAGTTGTTTGATTGTATATAAATTGCTTCTATATCTACATCATAGTCATCGTATATTATCAATTGAAAATCAAAATTTTCATCTTCGAGAAATAAGTTTATATAAAATAGGGTCAATTATTTGTTTCGTTTCCTTGGCTCTATTGCCCAGCTTAGAAGACAGCATACTTATATCAATTATTTGTATTCCATTTTATATTTGCCAGTCTATAACAAGATAAATATTAATAACTTATGTAATTAAAAAAATCAATGTTAATTTCTGAGATGCTCAACATCGATATATTTCGAGAATGCAAAATCAGCGGAATCAATTAGCGCGCAGTCTACTTCGTAGCTATTAAATGAATCATAATTACTGTGCTTAAGCTTAAAAGATAGCGAGACTGATTCTTCGCATTTCGCTTCGTTTCAATGCGTTGCAATCGTAGATAACGGAACAAAGTACATAATTAAAACAAAATAGCATCGCGTTTCCTATCGCTCAGACTTATACTTCACTTGGCAAGCAGACGAAGGCTTTTCTAATCCCATGAATGCGATCTTTGTTATTGCAGGGCCATTCACGTTGATTACGCTTGTATGTCGGCTAGAGAACCGAATTCTCTCCAGCTTAAATTGTGGACCAACGTGTATCCTCCTAACCCGGGCAATTCGTGTGTGTGATAAAAGGGGCGTCAAAATATGCGGCGATAATCGCGCTTAGTCATCCTAAAGGTATCTATATTATGTTGACAATAACATTATGTGGACGTTGACTTGACGCTTTCATAGACATTCTTCCGTATCGAACGGTTTGAGACATACGTCCGATAAAAAGTTAATCTATTTGCTATTAAGAAATATTGTGTGTGTGTGTGTGAAGCTAACATATTGATTCGTGGAAGATCATAAATAATTGAGAGTTTTGACTTTATTTTCAATAGTTTTAGAGTTTTGGCTAGAATTATTGGAAATAAAGCAACAACACTTAATTATTTATATATTTCCGCGAGATGAAATGTTCCACACACCCTTATTACACCTATAGAAATGTTAGAAAACAAACAATTTCTCACTCACCGATACCTGCAATAGCGGAGTAGTACACAGCATATTGTTCTGAAAACAAAATATTCAAATTATGTATGCATATACATGTGTGCACGTGTATGTATATGTATATTTTTTTAAATTTTTATTTTGCATACCTCACAGTTGCCCCGCTGTCGCCCGATGCCTGTCCAGGTCTCCTCCTCCTCTCTGGGTCTTTCGTAGCACTCGCGACACTCGCGAAAACACGAATAATTAAGATCGCCCGACACTCTGCACGGCACTCCCGACGCGCGGAACTTTACACGGCACTCCCGACGCGTGAATCGCACGCGTGTGGCATAATGCGAAAAAACGATGCGAAAACTATAATCGCGCGAAGCAATGATTTGTTCGGCACTCCAGAATCTCACAAACTCGCGCGCGGCTTATCAACAAAACTACCTGTAACAAATAAAATACATACATATATTAGAAAAAATATATAATTTTCGAAAATCGACTGGGATCTCATCTCAATATCTACAGATATATTAAGTGTCCGGTTGTCTTTTTATTTTTACTTAATTTTTATTTTCACTTTCAAAAATTATAATTTTTTTTAATCCTGATAATTATTGATAAGAGAAATAAGACGAAATACAATAATATGCTGCATTTAGTTGACAATCAATTTGTCCTTAGGTATTTTCTTTGATTTAATCGCCAGAACTATTCGTCTATAAACTCTATCAAGAACTCGAGTATTAAAAATAAAGTCAGAACTCAATTATTTATGATCTTCTATTAAGTTATGTGCTAGTTTTACACACACAAAGTCTTTGCGCAGAGATCAAAATATTATTTTAAATTATCCTATTCTGTAAAATCTTTTTTTTATTTTATTTTTTTTTTATATTCCGGACAGTGGATACACTTTAATTATACGATATTTTTGCTTTTGAATAATTCCGCACAATTTTACAGATTTTAGTTTTTAAATTTAATTTGACAAATACATTTTAATATCGTATGCAAAAGAAATATTATTTTGACAATATATTAATGGAAAATATTATCTGATCGATTAATATTAATCGAGTACAAATTTTGCAAAAACTTTGGACTATACGGCTTTTTTTATACGTATTTTTTTAGCGGAACTTGAGACAAAATCCATAAATCCGCCGTACAATATATATTTAGTTCTGAGGTTATTAATAGCGCAAACTTCATATTTTTTTAGATATGCGTTTCTGCTACAAACGCGTATTTCGGTCGTTTCGACGTGTTAGTATACACTTCATTATTTATTGTGCGCAATATGAAGGGTGCAAAAGAAATTATTTATTGCCCAATCGCGTACACGCAATTGGAGACCAGAAATCTGGGAATACAGGCAACGGAAAGAGTACCGATACATTCGGCTTATTCGAAATTTTGTTGGTGTTTCATTCGATTTTTATTTATTTTTGCGAGCAACCCGTAACATGTTTCCACTTCTCTCATTGTCTAACGAATATTTATCGGTTCTCATTAAATAATAAAATTATCGTCGATAATTTTATTCGCTAAAATATTAAATAAATAGGTTTGTATATATTTTCATCAATTTCTTTTATACCGATCGTACGAATATATATAATATACTATATAATTTTGTGCGAAATAAAAATATTAGCAGAATAGACATATATACATACACATATATATATATAATCCATACCTGTTTTCGCGATTTATATTTTAATCCCTTTACGATAATTTGCGATTAAAGAGCCATTTATATATGTATCCGAAATATATTACCGGATTATATATAAATCCCAATAAAATTCTGTAGTATAAAATTAAAATATGTTATATCACGTAAAATTTGGTGTTAGCACACACAACGTAGGTGCATACTTCAGGCGGTACAGAGAGGATAAAAAAAAAAAAAAAAAAAAAACTAACATACAAAATTACATGACACAAAAGTTTCGCGTGTAGCGAATCATTATGATATGCACGATGCAGCCGTCATACATCGCGAAGGGCTGACGTATTAAACGAGATTGATGCATATATGAAACGTGACGAATTTGACGTGGTATCATCGGCCCCAAAGTTCAGCGATGTAACCGAAGGGAAAATGTTTACGCTACTTCGCTCAGTGCGCGATAAACAGCACTATTCCTCACGCAATTTGATTTTAACTGTGTCCGGAGTTCTCTCGTCTCGAGGATAAGAGCATGTTCGAAGTTAACCCCGAGGTAGTTCTGAAACTGAGTTTCCATATTCTTGCTCGCTCAAGGGATGCACTTTTCGCTATGCAATTCGAAGGAGTGGACGAGCGTTGTTTATAAAGTCTAGGTAGACGTTGCGCGCCCGCATTATACCGCATTTCTCTCTCGTTCTCTTTCGCCCTTTTTCTCTCTTTAGCCCTCTCGAAACCCAGCGCAGCAGCCAACGTTGCGTTCTCGCACACGCTCGTCAAATATTCAACGATTCCAAAATGCACCGCGCATTTGTCCCCGACGCGTTTAGCTGCGTTTTGGCGCATACAATTACATCTCGTATAGCCCCGTCTATGATCTCTGTCTCGAGCGAATAAATGCGCAGTTTTGCGTGCATGGAACCGTCTTTGCGGAAGAACGTAATGCGGAAAAATTTATTCAACCGCCTCTCCCCCGGTGTGCTCTATGAAAAATTTTCCGGATAAATTATCCCTAGCTGTTATTATTATTACTATGTACTATGTAGACTCTCTCTTTTATATAAATGATCGACCGAGAAATATCGCTCTCGATAGCAACCGTTTTTTTTTTTTTGCCCGCGCAAAATTTCATGCTCGCAGTAACATCGCGATTCGCGGTCGTAACGCGATTCGATCATTCGTTATCGATATGCAGTTATCCATCGCCGAGGAGAGCAAACAAGCGCATTACGCACATTTCCATCGGAAGCGAGGTCGGCAGCGTTCCGCAATTATCGTATACAGGATTCATCGGTTTATTATTTAACGCGGCGTATTTCAAGAATTTATGCGTTGTATTCCCCTAAAAACAGAAAATAAAATAAAAATAAAAAAAAAAAAAAAAAAAAAAAGAAAAATATCTCGACATTCAAATTGAAAGAGTAATTCCACAAACGTATTCTGGTATAATGAATTTAATCAGTCTGATTCGACGTGCCTTTTATCTCGTTCGCGCGCTCTCTTCCTCTGTTTTCCCTCCCCTTTCTCGAAATTAGAGATTTTATCCCGTTCGCCGGCGGATCGCGCCATTAATTAATTCAGACGGAAAGCCGCCGAATATGGGGATCGGCCTGCGCGCGCTCGTCAACAAAGAGAGACGGGTAATTAATTAACCAAAGTGGCTCCGACGAGGCAGAGGCATTGTTACAGACGGCGACGGCCATTGTTGTTCCGCTCTCGCAGAACAGTCAATCCCGAAACCGCGTCCTTGTTGTTTCCGCGTACGTCTGTATATACACGTATATACAGAGACTTCCTGCGGTCCTTCGGTTTCGACCGACCGTTCTCGCTCTCTCTCTCTCTTGTTCCGAGCATATTGTCGCATTGTGCGAACCGTCCGCTATCAATTACGATTCGCGATTTATCGACCGGAATAAAATCGCGCCGCGATTATCTCGGCGAAAGATCGGCGCGAGATCGTAAAAGCCAATTTGCGAGCAATTATCCGCCCGCGAATTGAACCGTGCGACTGTCGCGGATAAGCCGCAGAGTCGACGATGAGTCAGTCGAGCCCACGTATCGCTTGTCGAATAAGGAAGGTTGTATTATATGAGCGATGTGTATTATAATTGGAAATTGGAATATTAATAAAAGAACATTTGAGTAATGATCCCCGTGTGCGATGGATGTTTGTGTTCAGCGCCGAGCAATCGTTATCGGAGCATTAAGCGAAATCTCGCGCCGCTTTACGATATTTAACGTCGCAGATCGACGTTAATCTCGGAAAATTGCGCCCGTGGAAGGTACGTTATTTCCGTCGGAAGCGCAATTATCACTCGTGAAGAGCACTATAATTCTAGTTATAGCGTGACGCCCTTTTACGTTTTGCACGTAAAAGACGCAACAACGCGCTCCGAGATTAAACATCCGACCGTCTAATCCTTCGAGTGAGAGATAAACGAATCAAAATGTCGCAGATATATATATATATAGTTGCATACAATTAATGGCTAGATATTTCCAAGCAAAATTCTCTCCGCGAGAGAAAAACTCGACGAAAATAATTCGAAATAACTTTGCGTCAAATTTTGACATGTAGTTATGTCAGATATCGCATCTTGATGCATCAATTCTTGATTAATATATGCAACATTTAATTGAATGTAATTTTCTCAATTTTTATCAAATACTAGATAACTTTGTACTCCTACAATTTAACTCTTTTCGGCTCAAATAATTTCCTAATTGAGCAGGCTTTGCGTCAAATTTTGACATGTATATAGTTATGTCAGATATCGCATATACTTTTATTCGTGGATTCTTGATGCATCAATTCTTGATTAATATATGCAACATTTAATTGAATGTAATTTTCTCAATTTTTATCAAATACTAGATAACTTTGTACTCCTACAATTTAACTCTTTTCGGCTCAAATAATTTCGAGCAGGTCGTTTTAGAAAAAATTCCACTCGCGTAATTAAGAGCGTCTTCTAGAACACGTGTACGCGTCTTATACATGTACATATATGCATAAGATTTTCAATCTTTCTCAATACGGGATCGCAGGAAAGGAACGGCAGACGTGAAACGGCAATTCGAACGCGTATATACCCGATGCCGGCAATTTAATCAGCGATATCGTGCAACCTCTCGACAACGCCCACTCGACAACGAATCCGGCGAATTACGCCGACTGGATAATTTGAAAACTCTCCATCGAATCCCAAAGCAAATGCAGGAAGGGCACAAGGGAGAACCCCGGGACCGGAAGCTCTCAAGAAATCAGCCCTCGCTGGCCGGGCAAAATCGAAACGTCGAAATCGAACCGGGAGATTCGGAATTCGAGCGAGCGAGAGAAAAGAGGTTTTCTCTCTCTCTCTCTCTCTCTCTGTCCATCCCTTTCGCCTCTTTTCCATCGAAATGAGAGATCCCCGTTGATGCGCAACTCCCGCGATGTTCCGAGACGCGACAGAGCGAGGGAGGATGGTCGCGAAAGGCGGGTGAAGGTGAAAAAAATGTAATTACAGCGGGGAATGATAATGAAGTTTACATTTTAATAACCCGCCGTGTCGCCAGATGGTCCCGAATGCAATATTAATACTTCCCTTTCCCCCATTCGCTGCGTTTACAGCCACCTACTACATACAACGAGCGAGAAAGAGATAGGGAGAGACAGCAGCATGTGCAGGTGCGTGCGCACGCTTTTACAAAGAAAGAGTGAGAAAGAGAGCGCGCGAAGAAGTGCTATTGCATTTCGCGAAGAATGCGGCGTCATAATATATAT